GCTCCTGAGTGTTATTGCCCCTTGAAGAGCTTCCAGGGGACAAGATGTGGAGGGGGAAGACAGTGATATTGATGATCCTGACCATGTGTAGGCCTAGGCTAATGTGTGTGTGTGTGTCTTTATTTTTTAATGTCAAAATGTTTAAATAGGAAAACACTTACAGAATAAGGACATAAAGAAAATATTTTTGTACAGCTGTACGGTGTGTTTCTGTTTTAAGCTAAGCGTTATGACAAAAGGGTCCAAAGTTAAAAAATAAATTAAAAGCTTATAAAGTAAAAAAGTTACAGTAAGCTAAGTTTAATTTATTATTGAAGGAAGAAAAATACTTTATAAATTTAGTGTAGCCTAGGTGTATAGTGTTTATAAAGTCTGCAGTAGTGTATAGTAATGTCCTAGGCTTTCACTCCCATTTCCACTGACTCACCCAGAGCGACTTCTAATTCCTGCAAGCTCCATTCCTGATAAGTGCTTTCTACAGGTGTAACATTTTAAATCTTTTATTCTATATTTTTACTGCATCTTTTATATGTTTAGGTATGTTTAGCTATACAAATACCATTGTGTTACAGTCGCCTACAGTATTCAGTATGGTAACATGCTATACAAGTTTGTAGCCTAAGGGCAACAGGCGCTATCATAAAGCCTATGTGTGTAGTAGCCTATACCATCTGTGTTTGTTTAATTATACTCTGTGATGTTCACATGACAACAAGCATATCAACTAAGGACGCTTTTCTCTGAACATACCTCTGTTGTTAAGCGACGCATGGCTGTAAAACATGCATTAATTGGTTACCTGTACCCTCTATTTAGGGCTTCAAAAGTTGGATCTGTCCATCTAAGATGCTTTTAAGTAACGTTTACCTTGAAGAAATAGATGGTTGATTGGTTTAAAGAAAGAGACAGCTGAGTTGAATGGGGAAGCCAGATTTTGACTGTATTTCTAAGAGGAGGCATTCTGTAATGTTTTGGTAAAAGAATGTCTGTTTCCATGTCATCCATCCATCTGTGCATCTGTCCATCCATCTATCCATCTGTCCATCTGTTTATCTAATTTGTCATTTACTTATCCATTAGTCTGTCTGTAATGCAAATATTCCAAACATTAAAAAAGTATAAGAAGACTCTGTAGTGCAATGGATAGCACATTGAACTTTTTTGTTGTTTTTATATTAGTTTACTGCAATTAAAAAATGTACAAATAATATAACCAAAGAAAATTCAGAAAACAAAGCAACATTGAGAAAGTGAAAGACTGTTGAATCTCTCCTAAGATCCTATTATAAACACAAAAAATTACATTTAATATTCTGGTACATTTCCTTCTAGGCATTTTTGCTCTATGCATACATTTTATTCATAGATGTAATCATCTTGTCTATGCTGTTTTGTAGCAAGCTTTTTTTCACTTAATATGTAATATTATTTTTTCCAAGTCTTTATAGATACTGTTTTTCTTTTTTTTCTTGAGATGGGGTCTTGCTAAATTGCCCAGGCTGTACTTGAACTCCTGGGATCAAGTGATCTGCCTGCCTCAGCCTCCTGAGAAGTTGGGACTTCAGGTGCATGCCACCTTGCTTGGACAAATATTATCTTTAGTGTTTGTATGATGTAACACTGAGTGAGCACAGCCTACGTGATTTATTTAGCCATCACTCAGTGGTTGGATATTTAGGGTATTTCATCTTTATTGTCTTTGAAAATTAAATAAAACAAAATTTGATGAAAGTCCAAGGTGGCCCAACACAGTGGCTGAATATATCCTGTCAGTCTGTTGCATTTTCATGTGGAAATGGAAGCATAACTCTCCAAAACTCTGCATCTGCGAGGAATGTATATTAAATTAAACTTAAGGAAGTGCTTATGAACAGTAGGAAATGAGAGTTGGTAAATGGAGTCATTTTATTTCATAAAGATGCCTCAGAGCTTTAAGCCCAAGCCCCTACACTTTGAGTCACTTTGGATTGTGTACATTTGTCCATGATGCACCATGATTTTATCTTACACAGTGTTTGGCATGAAGCATTAAATCTTCTTTCCTTCACAGTTTTCAGAATCTGTGAAATAGGACCTGAGCCAGCCTAGAAAAGTCTATCTCCTTGTCTGTTTAGTGTTTTTTTTTTGTTTGTTTTGTTTTTTTTTTGAGGAGTTTCACCCTGTCTCTCTTTTTTTGAGACGTTTTCACCGGGCTGGAGTGCAGTGGTGCGATGTCAGCTCTCTGCAACCTCTGCCTCCCTGATTCAAGCGATTCTTCTGCCTCAGCCTCCCGAATATCTGGGACTACAGGCATGCGTCACCATGCCCAGCTAATTCTTTTGTGTTTTTGGTAGAGACGGGATTTTACCATGTTGGCCAGGCTGATCTCAAACTCTTGACCTCAGGTGATCCACCCACCTTGGCCTCCCAAAGTGCTGGGATTACTGGTGTGTGCCACTGGGCCCGGCCCTTTTAATTCTGAATAGAATAGTATTTATGTAATAGTTGTGAGTTGAAGGCAAATACTTTTAAAAAGTCTAGTTCTTTTCTTTTCAAAATATAAGTCATAAAAATGCATGATTCTCCCTGAGGAGCCAGCGTGGCATCAGACTCTGGAGCCAGACAACCTGGGTTTATTTCCTGTTCCACAACTTTCTGCTGGGTGAACCCGGGCAAGTTACTCGACTTGTCTAGATGTCAGTTTTCTCATCTAGTAAATGGGAATAATACTATTATAGGTTTCTAGGATGGTTTAAATAAGTTCAAACACAGTGTTAACTCCTACTCTTCTCAACAGGTTCCTAAGGGTCTGCGTTTCTAGTGCTTTACCATGTCAATAGCATTTATAATGTTCTGCAGTATCCCTTACTGAGTGGTTTTTCTATGAGTATTTCTGTGAGTGTTTCTTCTCCAACTATTTTATGATGATACTGGCCACCACTTTTGATGGAGTATTATAATACATATTCTACATGTATTATAAAATGTAAGTCTCATTGCCATTTATAAGGTATGCATTTTTGCTATTTTCTTTTTATAAATTTAGTAACTAAAGGTTGTAGAGGTTAAGTAACTTGCTTAAGGTCCTAAAATTGCTAAATATGGAACTTGGAACTAAATTCTGGTCTGGTGCATATGCCACCAACCGTTTTTGTAAATTCCTTTAACAAAGGGACTTTTATGCTTTTTAGATCCCTTACAGATTTCAGCACAGTTTCTTGAACATAGTAGGTCCTAAGTTTTTTGTTTGAAGGTAGAAGTGATCCTGTGGATAATAGAACTTTTTTTTTTTTTCCAATGAGAAAACCAACAATATTGCTTTTTAATGACATGAAATTATGAGTCTTAGAATTTTGTTCCACTTCCATACTACATCTAAGAGAATGATGAGTTTGTAATTATTTGTGTATGAAACTGTTTGTATTCCATGTGAAACAAATGTAGAGATCCTGTATTTGAGACTCTGATTTGAGAAAACCTGGATTAGCATTACATTGGTAGCCATTGAAGCAATTTTAATTTAAATAAGGATTCAACTAATTCTGGATCTGTTTTTAGCCATTTGTTTAACAGACATTTATTGTGCATATACTTTGTGCAAAGCCCTCTGCAGGGGATTAAGGGTTTAAGGATGAATATGTTGGTTTCTATATGTAAGAAGATTTTATCCAATATCATGAGTTTAGCTATGCCCTGATGCTAATGACTCCTACATATCATTAACCCAGCCCCCACCCTTGCCTTCATTATTCAGCTCTGTGTTGGATACTTCCACATGGATGTTTCATAGCCCTCCAAAGTGAATTTATTATCTCATCCCCAGCACGCACTATACCTCATTATATATTACATTCCTGTAGGTGTTAAATATTCCACCTCTGTTGGTAACATCACTATCTAACCATTCAAACCACTGTCCAAACTTCCACCTTAAAACAAACAAACACAAAACAGAAGTAATCTTGGATTCCTTTTTCTCCCTAACACTCTAGATTTAGCTAATCCTGCTAATTTTTCCCCCCTAATTATTATTAAGACCTGTGAAGGATTTGAGACTTTTCTTACTTGCAAATGAACTTGCTTGCCACAGTTTCATGGATGCTGGCAAACGACACAGGATTCCTGGGTTAGAGACAAAAGGACTTTATTACTCATAGCAATAGCAGTAGCCAGAGTGTCAACATATTCATTCACTGTTTCTCTAAGACCCAGCTCGCATAGGATGTCATGAAGAGAGTCGAGTGACAGCCATACATGCAGTGCATTGTGTTACAGGAGAGGAATGCCAAACTTAGGGAACCCAAATCTTTTATATTGGGCAGTAAAGATGCTTCACCTTTGCTCCAGAGGGAGATCATTTCTTCCAAGGCTGTTCTCCATATAAACATCTTTGAAAAGATAGTCTGGAACCAAGGGCAGCCAGTGCTTTGCTCACAAGATGTGCAGAAACCTAAGGGACTCCTGGAGAATGCCTCCTAGCATATATATCTTGCATCTGTTCTCTCTGCTCCTTCCTTTTTTAAAATCGAAGATCCGTTACTGCTCCTGTTTCCGTGAGTAGCAGTGACCAGGGGAATAGGGAGAGGAACCAGCTGGCAAGGGATGGGTCATCTCCACAGCATTCCATTTATACACAGAACTAAACAGACAAGCACAGAGTCACTATTGCAGTTAGAAGCTGGCAGTGTGGGAAGGTGGAGGAACAGGTGGGGGGAGTGGGGATGTTGTTAAAAAAATACAGGCCCCTTCAAAACTGGGGTGCCTGGTGGGAATTTGGTCTACTTCAACCCAAAGAGAATCAGAAGATGAAAAGCAGTTTGGGAAGGCCAGAACCATCAGGGATGGAGGGAGGAGGATAATCCAGGGGGTGAGGGGTGTGTTTGGCGACTGGGGTGAAGGGATTGCCCTCCCCTGGCTGGGATTCCCCCCAGCCCAACTGGTCTGGCAGGAAGGGGCCAGCCTGCAATCCCCAAGGGCAGGTATAGGGCTGCTAGATGCTCAAGGCAGAGTGCCAGAGGGGCTCACAAAGGCTTGCCCTCCAGGGAGATGGTGGCACTGCCCCCCAGCTTCTCTGCCGGGGTGCAGTGGTTCTTGACCTCCTCGCAGAAGTTTGCTTGTAATTCATGCTTGATCCCTGTCAGCTTCTTCTTGACTGCATCCTTGGAGCTGGCATAGATTATTTTGCTCTTAAGGGGCCCAGACTCAGGGGCCCAGAAGATAAGCACCAGGTCCTCCTTCTTGCTCTCCTTGGTCTCATAGGTTGTGTCATAGAGGATGTAGTGGCAGTCCTTATCTGGCAGCATCTTGACAAAGGTGGCCTAGGAGTCATCCAGGTCTGGCCCACATTGCCCACCAGGATCTTCTTGCCCTCCTCCAGGATGGTGTTCTTCTTGCCCTCACTCAGGCAGAAGAGCTCCACCTTCTTGTGTCTTTTCACCTCCTCCGGCATTGAAGACTTAGGCACCTTTATGTGGTTGAACACCTTTATGACACCATCGGAGACAGCCACACCGGAGACCACATTTCTGAAAGTGAAAAGGAGAGGGCGTGGAGAGCCGCAGAAGCTCCAGCGCTGCTGGGACCTGACTGCCCTCTGCTCCTTCTTTGCACCATTAGATCAGACACATTGCCCATAGGAAGATTGCAACAACTTTTTAGCTGATTTCCCTAACTCAAGGTGGGGCCCTCTTCACATTCAGTCCCCTACACCTTGCTGAAGTAGCCTCCTGAGACACAAATCTGACTCTTTCCTGCTTAAAGCCATTTACTGCCTGCCCATTATCTATACGAAAAGCCCAAGCTCCTTAGCATGACACCAAAGGGATTTTCAGACCAGCCCTTGCTGATCCCCCGAGCGTCAGGGGGCAGCATATAAGAGTAATTATCTCCCTTACTGCCCCGGTGACTTAACCTTTGTGACCTCCTTTCCTCATTGCTAAATTAGGATGATAAAACTTACCTCATGGGTTGGTGAGAATTAATCAGCTCACACATGATTAGCCTTCAGTAAATGTTGCCTGTTAGGGTTGTGTCTTTCCACTCTCTGCCTCACACTTTAAGGTCTGGCTACATGGTTTTCTGCTCACTCTGTGTCCCTTTTCACCATGGTTAGTGCCTTTATTGCTGCGACCCACCCTTCTTGCAATGTCCTACAATCCCTATTGCCTGAGTTCACGCTGGTTAGTCATATCCTCTTCCTTCTCTTGGATGCTCCATGCAATATCGGCCATTGACCTATAAATATCTACTAATAAGTCAGTCTCTGCTGCTAGATTCTCAACTTTATGGCGGTTGTTTTATTTATCTTTGTGTTGCTAGCACATGGCATGTGTTGAGAAAAATGGTGAATGAATACCTGAAAGAACAGAAGGAATTCATAGTCTCCTAGGGTGTTTGGGGTCTAGGGATGAACAGTGGAAGGCAGCTAAGTAGCTTAATAATAACAGGTGAGAGAATCTGGGTAAAGTTGGGGCTGAGGTGAAAATTAGGCCCTATAGGAGTCCAGTCTAGGGAGTTTGCTTGTTGAGTGTGGTGCATGTGGTGAGGAAGCCTGTTTAAAGTTATCTCCTCGGTGACATAAAACAGCCCCTTCTAGGCAATCTTAATTACTCCCTTCCCTGAAAGAATCTATTGCAAATGGAAGGTCATGCAATCTGTCTTCTTGTAAGATCTGTTCCTCAGAATACAATGAGTTCTCTGTTACCTGGAAGAGTGGGTAGAACGGATCTTCTTTTTAATTAAATTGTCTCTGCAGCAGAAAGTGACTTTATCCCGCTTTTTGGAGTCTCCCCGTTCTCCTTGGCCTGGCTCAGATCACTGTTCTTGAATTTATTGTTACACTAGTGCACCCTGCATTGTGAGTTATAATTTAATGTGAGCATATCTAATTCCCTAATGAGATGGAGACTCTTTGGGAATTTATGTTTTTTTTCCCCCTGAAATGTTTAATGTCATGCTTTTGAATTAAGAAGGCCTTCTACATATATTTATAGACTGGCCGAGTTTTTCCATATATGTATTAAGAACTTTCACATAATTATAACACAGCCTGAATTTCAGAATGCCAGTGATCTTCTCCAGGGCTTCAGCTTCCTGAAGGAACAACTACTCAGCACCTATTATTAAATGTTTAATGTGCCATTTTTATTAACTTTGAAATAAAAACTGAAATATTTGGAAAATGTTGATAAATGAACAAACGAAAAAGCTCTGAAATAACCCTATTATAATAGTATTTGGAGTATGTGTCTGTAGTCTCTCTTCCTTGGCTTTGTGTTTTTGCTTCTCTTTCAGTGAATGGGGTCATCTTTTATCACTCAGCTGGCAATCTGATTTCTTCCCCTTCACATCAATAGATATTTATTAAAAGTATTGATGCTGGAGAACTTCTTTTAGTTCCTGTTTCAACCCTTGACCCACTGTTTTGCCTTGTTTGCCACTACCTGTCTTTCCTTGATTTCTGTTTGTCTCTCTGGATTGACCAGTATTGTGTTCTGATCTCTGATACCTGCATGCATCTTCATAGTAGGTTCCAATTTTGGGGAGTGTCTGCTGTGCCCCAGATACTTGCATGTGTTTTACATGCTTTAAAAATCTGTTTTCTGATAGACTGGATACTAGTAGTCTCCATTTCAGAGATGAGGAATTTGCTGTAGAGATTTAATTTATAAAAGATCATGAAGCCTTAGGTGGAGCCTGAACCTATGTTTTTATACTCAGCACCCCCTCTAGTATGTGAAACTGCCATCTTTAGCTTCAAACTCCTTCTGGAATACTGGTTTTTGGGTGCTATGTCTAATCAGCTTTCAGCTCTACGGTATTCCTTGAAGGGGCCGGGCGCGGTGGCTCAAGCCTGTAATCCCAGCACTTTGGGAGGCCGAGGCGGGCGGATCACAAGGTCAAGAGATCAAGACCATCCTGGTCAACATGGAGAAACCCGGTCTCTACTAAAAATACAAAAAATTAGCTGGGCATGGTAGCGCATGCCTGTAATCCCAGCTACTCAGGAGGCTGAGGCGGGAGAATTGCCTGACCCAGGAGGCAGAGGTTGCGGTGAGCCGAGATCGCGCCATTGCACTCCAGCCTGGGTAACAAGAGTGAATCTCTGTCTCAAAAAACAAAACAAAACAAAAAGTATTCCTTGAAGGGCACCACAACCCACACCCCTGGGCCAGCATAGTGAATTTTATATTTTTTATTTGAGAGAGATATATATAGAGATAGAATATGTGTGTGTGTGTGTGTGTGTGTGTGTGTGTGTGTGTGTGTGTGTGTGTGTTTGGGGAATCAGCTGTGGCTCTTGCTTTCACTCCTCATGGTAAGGAGATGGTCTACCTCTCACATCTGTTTTCAGCCCCCGTTCCTCAATACCAGAATTATTTTCTGTTAACTCAATGCACCTTTTCTTTGTAATTCATGTCGATTTTCCTCCAGCCACCTGCACGGTCTCTGGCTTGCTCTCAGGCTGTGAGTAAGTTCTTTGTGTACTTGCTGTTTTTGATAACCTCGGCCTAGGATTTAATGTCAAGGTGGGGGTCCTATTAAAGATGCCATGAATCATCCTGTCTTTGTTTGAAGATTTCCGTGTTGGCAAGTGGGCAGATAGAATTAGCTGTAGGTTTCCCAACCAGATGTAGTGGTAGCTGGGATGGGGGCGTTCGGCTGAAGTACATTCCTATCATTATTTGGCAAAGAAAGAGCCACGGAGATTAAGAGCGTAATCCTCGCTTGTGATCTGGCTTCATCGACGGAATCACAGAGCCTCCATGTTGTAAAGGTCCTTAAAATCACCTGCAACTGCACAACTTGATACTTGAGGAAACTAAGGCAATAGATAAAGGAAGTGATGTAAAGTTATAGAAAGCCAAGTCTTCAAGGGACTTTTGACGTGACCTAACTCTGCGCTCTTATTTTATGGGGAAGAATAATGAGCCCTTGAGAAGCTCACTAACACTCCTAACGTGGCACAGTGAGTCCCTTCCGAGCAAGGACTCTACTGAATACAGGCCCAGGACGGGGGCCCTGCAGATGAAGGCACTAAGGGGGATCAGTAGGATGTGGCTGGATCCAAGAGCTCTCTGCTGTCTCCTCGGGGCTGGCTTCCATGGGCCTCTGTTGAATTATCAGTCCGGTGTTCTTGCCTCTGTCCCCACAGACCTGTGGAGGTCTTCTTCCACCTGACAGATGGTGACTGTCTTCTTCAGAGTGATAGGAGTGAGGAACCAGTGAGGGGAAATCGGGAAACAGGAAGCCAGGGAGAGGAGCAAGGTGTTGGGGTGGTACGTGTTGGCTCCATGCCTTGGTGTTGTGGGTTTCTAGAGGATTTTAACTTTGTAGTAAAGACAGGACTTGTGGGAATTCTCTCCGTGGTAGGAGAGGAGTGTTCTCCACAGCCTTCACAAAGCATTCCCTACAAGAACTACTCGTCCTTCACGACCTAGTTCCATCATAGCAGTTCAGTCTTCCGCTGTTTTTTCTGGTACTAGCCTATGGATTGGGTAAGGAGAAAGATCAGGTTAGTGAAGAGATCTTTCTGGTCTCTCCAGTAATAAAGCCCCTTGGACAAGGGCCAGGGAGATTCATCTCCCAGAGACTCCTGTGCTCTAGGTGGTGGTAGAGGCTTCCTGCCAGAAGGATCTGAAGCAGAGGACGTGGATGGTGCCACGTTGGCGTCTCTGTGTGTCTGGCAGCGCAACAAAGGACTTCTGTCTGCCCTGCGAGGCTGAGTCGGTAAAACCCACTTCAATTGAAAGCCACCACACTTTAGCCAACTTGATAATTAAAATTCTAATATATGAATTAAAGAAAACAAGGGGCTCTGTTCCTGCCATATTAAAATACAGCTGCAGTGATTCCACTATTTTTTTCCTTTGACAGAGCTGTGGTTTTCCTACACACCTTTGTTTGAGGCTTTGATTCAGATATACTCCCTGCAGTTAATAGGCCCCTGGTGTCTACTCACCAGTTAGATGGTGTGTGGTGATGATTCTTCTGTGATGTGGAGAATCAAATATTGTGTCTTCAAGTTACATGAGGTGGCTAAGTGACATCTCATCGAGAGCAGAGGTAACAACAAAACTCACAGAAAAGGTGCTTCCTGAACTCCCTTTTTGTTTCCCTAGTGATTAAAAACAATAAAGGCCAAATTGAAGTGAAAACTTAAGAGCCAATACAGCCGATACCTGGACTTATGGATTGATTTATTTCCATGAACATTCGGGGAAAATGCCCACTTGTTGCTCTGTTATTAATAAAAAGGTCACTTTATCATTAGGCCTTTGAATCTGCATTTAATGGTGAAAGCCAGATGGTTATAATTTCTGACTTAGTGTGGCCACCTTATTAATAAAAAAGGACTGATGGAAAGGAAAAGGCGTCTTCATTTTTAACTCCAGAAGCATAACACAAATGTGTTCCAGTCTTTCTTTGTGTGGAAAGCAGACCGAGTGACTGCAATAAGATCCTGTTACACATTGAAAAAAGACTTTTGCAGAGTGGAGGTAACTCAGTTTGAATCCTTCTTTTGTTAAACTTTAAAAGGACACTATAAACATATGCCCCTTTCCTTGAAGAAGGTATTTTGAAGGAAGCTTCAGGATTATATTTAAAAGTAAATTAATATTTTAAAAACATTAGAAAACTAAAAAACACCTAATTTATTTCAGATAGTGGAGGCCTGTGGTACTTTCTAAAATTATTCTTTTTGCTTAAACTACTATAAACTGCTTTTTTGGATTTAATTACTAGGCTTAGATGAATGTGCCATGTATCTTATTCTGGTTCTTTTTATATTCACTTGGAATTTTTAAAAAGTCAATAATGGCAAAAATGCCTGGTAGTGGATTTCTGCTTGATTTCATCCAGCCTGTATATAATGGTCGGGAATTTGAAATCATGGTTATCATCCTGGCAGTTTTTTGTCCCCAAAGGGACAAACTTACGTTCGTGAAGACAGAATGATTTAGAATCTTAATGTACCCAGTAAACTGATTGAACAGAGCAGAAAAATGCTGGGAATTCTTCACATAGGCTCAGAAGAGCTCTTTAATTCACTCAGATACCTAAAGACTTATTTATATGTCAGGCTATTGGCAGCATCCTGGGACCTGTTATGGCAATGAACTCCTGGTCTTAGGTGACAAGAATAGGATGTGTGTGCTGCGCCTGGCTCTGAGATAAAGAAAAAACATGGAATTTTAAGGATCTTAAAGTCTTTAAAGCTTTCTTTGCCTACTTGTTTTCAATCTTTGTTTAATTAATAATGCCTTTCAGAAGAGCCGTCCATGGGCCCACATTTAGAAGTGGTTTGAATTTCAAATTATTAACGGTAATTGTTTTTTTTTTTTTCTATTTTCATTAACCAAAGGCGTGTATAACACCCATTCAGTTCATTTGTTCATTGATTTGTTCATTTATTCTTCAGTATTTAGCTTCTATTTACTTTTGGCTTGGCACCATGGCATGCACAGGATTACAGAGGAGTTTGTGATGGCCAGCCTTCTTTAAAAAGCCTAAAATAGGGTCAGGAGCAGTGGCTAACACCTGTAATCACAGCATTTTGGGAGGCCGAGGCTGTAGAATCACTTGAGCCCAGGAGTTTGAGACCAGCCTTGGCAACATAGGTATCTCATCAAGAGTAGACGTAACAACATTTCTACAACAAATAAAAAAAGTTAGTCAGGTGTGGTGGTATGCACCTGTGGTCCCAGCTACTCCAGAGGCTGAGGTGGGAAGATCATACTTGAGCCCAGGAGGTCAAGGCCACAGTGAGCAGTGATGGTGTCCCACATTCCAGCCTGAGTGATGGAGTGAGACCCTGTCTCAAAAAAAAAAAAAATCAATAAATGAAAATCAACAGTAGATGCTCCAAAACAGTGGACAGATTTTTGTTTTTCCTCACATCTCAGATTCCTGGATGTCTAGACCAATCCTTGGCTAAGCCATCATGCTTTTTTTTTAAACTTTGAAATATTTTAAGTATACGGAAAAACAAAAGTGACAAAACCCATTTCAGATACAAATAATTTTTATGTTTCAGATTTTTTAAATAAATAAAACATTATAGACACTTCAGAAGCTCCCAGTGTACCCCTCCTAAATCCTGTCTCTCTTCTTTTCCAGAGATAATCTTTCTACTAAGTGTGATGTCTTTTCATTCCCATGCATGTTTTTATATCTTTGCTCTCTGTGCATAAATGCACTAATAGTGCTACTAAAAATAGTGCTTTGCCTGTTTTTAAATTGTATATAAATGAGAACTTACTGTACCTGTCATACATCTTGCGATTTCGCTCGGTGTTGTTTTTTATATTAACCTTGTGAAATTAGGAATTACATGTTGATCTAAGAAGTTATTTTAGTTGCTGTGCAGTAAGTATACTATCGGGTGACCATTTCAAAATTAATATACCGATTCTCCTGTCTTCATTTTTTGTGTATTATAAAACAATGCTGCCATGAAAAGTTTCACTTGTCTTTCCGTAAAAATGTGGGAAGTTTTTCTATGCTAAATTCTTAGGAATAGAATAGAGTATGCATGTCTTTGGCTTTCTTAGATGTTGGAGAATTGCTCTCCAAGGGACTTATGCCTCTGTGAACTCCTTCCTACAGTGTATGAGTTCCTGTTGCTCTTTGCCCTTTCCAATACTTCCTTGTTATTGGAAGTATTTTCAGATTTTGCTTATTCAACAAATATGATATAAACTATCCTAGTTTGAATTTATAAAGATATATCAGTTGAGTAAAGATGTTAGAGCAAAGACTGGAGATTTTTTCCCCCCTTTTCCTCCTGTTCTAGCTATGTTATAGGGCAAGTTTGAGTTTCCGGTTGTGTAGAATTATTTTCAGCAAAGCCTACTTTGGCCCAAATTAGTTTCCTTTACATCCATTTTACACAAAATGCATTATGTGCCTTTCTAAGGAATCGAAGAGATGAAGTCCAAACTCATAGAACCTATGTTGGGGGTGCATAGCAGGAGATACTAGGGCCCAATTTACAGTGGATGCATTGCACTGGCCAAGGAATTCACGGACCTTGCTCTAGCAAAGGTTGCTGCCTGTGTGGGTTTTTGGGTTTTAATGTTAACAAAATGAGAGATTGCATTAGTCATTCCTTCTTCAAGTGCAGATTTTCTTTTCTGCTTTCAAACTTCCATGCTTCTAAGTGGCATTGTCCCTTGGTACTTTAAAATGTCTTAAAAATCATGAATACTCAATTGGTATTGAGAACAGAGGAACTTAATGCAGGAGCCACCACTAAGTGAAGAGTAATTAAAAATGCTCAAAAGTCACCTTCAAAATCCTAATCTAAGTTAAAATTGTGTAAAAAAAGACCATGTCACTCACGTATAAAGATGACAGGGAAAAATAACAATGAATACACTGTGGGTGATTATTCCCCTCACTGCCCTATTTTTCTGTTTTCCAAAGCTTTTTTAATGGTCATGGAGTAATATTCTAGAAAGAAAATAATAAGCATATGTGAACAATTATAAGCTCATTTGGTAGGAAAAAAATGTGATTTATACAAACATGTGCTGGGCAAAGGGGAGAACACCTGTATATGAAAAATGATTTGTAATGATTTTGTAGATAATCCCTATAATCCTTCCTTGGGTTAAGATTGGTGGATGATAAGTGCTTTTCTTTCGGTTTTGCTGTTGGAAAGATCCAGGGAAGATGGAAGACAACTAGACTGGCATCTTCCCTGAGAGCAGTGGCACAGCAGCTGGTAGAACAACTTGAGCTTCTCTCATTGGGTTTTAAGACCAAAAGAAAAGGCAGAAAGCAGAACTAAAGAGATTTTATTCATTAGGTCACATAGATATTCCTATTTCAAAGGCCTATAACAAATCCGTAAGAGTGGAATTAATCATAATGCCTACCATATATTAAGTGTTAAATATATATATATATATATTTTTTTTTTTTTTCTGAATTCTGGAATAGCTGTGAGATGTAGGAGTAACTGTACTGACTGATAGGGGAGAGATCAAATAGGTTAAGAAACTTGCTCTAGGTGCAGAGCTCATCAGTGGTACTGCCTGGACTCAGCCGCCATCTGCTTCACTCTGCTGGGGCATACATGTGTGTATACCCTTCCCCTGGCAAACACTTCCTTTTGTAGAGCTGAAAGCACCCCCCTGCAACTTTTCCATATATTTATTCTCATCCTGCCCTCCTGAGTCCCCCCCAGCCTTAGAAGTCTGCTCCCTCTTTCACACAACAGCCCTTCATATCTTCAAAGAGGACTATCGTGTCCGTTTCCCCACTTTCCCCCTCTCAGTCTGTCATCTTGGAAAAGCTCAGAGAGGTG